GCGCCAGAGTCCATGTGCTCCACAGGTCCGCCTGGGATTGTCCGGATCTCCGGAAGCGGGAAGCCTGTGCCAGGGCCATGGGGCCTGCCGGGGCCACTCGATGAGGCGAGATTAAGGCCCTGGAGATGGGTGTGCGGATTCAGCGTGGGGCCCCAAGCTGGTGGGCTTCCTTGGTGAGGTTCAGACCTGCCTCCAGGGGGGTCGGTGGGGCAGAGATCGCTGGGCAGCAGCCAGGAGGGAATCTGAGGCTGCCACGCGGATGTCACCACATGGCACCACCAGGTGGGCCTGAGAGCAAGTCCCCAGGCCCTCTCTGCCTTGAAGCCTCAAGTGTCTTCCATGTCATTGAATAGATCACGTCTCCTGGCTGGAGCTGCTGCCCCAAATGCACTGCAGCCAAGCACGGTTCCCTGTTGCAAAGAAGGCCCCGTCCCCCACAGTGTGACACGGCTGGACGGCGCCCCTTGTCCCAGAATGCAGCTGACACAGGGTGCCTCTCTGCCCCTCAGCCCGAGTGGGTAGAGTTTGCATTAAGTCCTTCCCGAAAGTGTGTAAATTATTTAAGCTGCTGTCTGGTCTCTCCACTGACTTCTGTGACTCCATCTGTTCTTTTGGGACTGTGTTTGCACGGACAGCTGCTCAATTCTAACACCCTGCTTGCAGGGTGTCTCCCCTGTCCTGCTCACCTGCTCTTCTTAGCCAGGAACTCACACATCCACACTAAATACATGGAGGGCTTCCAGGCCGGAGGAAAAGGCCCCGGTGACCCTTCTACCCAGTGTTGGGGAGGATGGTTGTCCGTGGGTTTGTAAGCGTGACTTAGGGGTCCTGGGCTGTCACCATGGAGACGAGTGCCTAGCCCACCATGCAGCAGGCCGAGGTGGTCTCTCCGGCCTGGTTACAAGCTTGTAAATCTGGTGACTTGCAGTTTTGGGGTTTGCTCGTTCACCCTTTTATTTGAGGGGACACTGACCACGTGCTCCTCCTCTTCGGGGATCCCAGGTTTAAGTTATGCTCCCTTTCCACCCCCAGTGGCTGTCACCCCCACAGCAGCCCACAGTCCAGGCAGAAAGGAACCTCTGACCCTTCTAGATCTCTAGTCCAATTTCACCTCACCCACTGATCTTACGGGGGGCGGGGTG